CTTTGTTCTCCATACCCACAAGACACATGAAGCAACCATTCCATTTTGACTAAACCTTGAATTAGGACTATATCCACTGTCTAGCATTTAATCGTTTGTAGAAGCCTTAAGTTGCTGTGGAACTACTCTATAATCTATGGAGTCTGATGGGTTCTTTGTTTCTCTATTTATTATTCTGCCACCAAACAATATGAAAAATTCACTTGATTGTTATTGATGGCTAAATTTCTCTGAGTCCTAGATCTGTTTGACCAGTGGCTCAAACTTGCCACTGACATTTTGGCAGCACCCGGGAATCAAGGCACCACTTGCCCTGTTCATAAGAGGAATAATCCATACAAATCCAATTTATTTTTCAAATGTTCCAATAGTGTGTGAGTGTGTGTGTGTGTCTTTATATGCCCATAATTTAAAACTGAAACCTTCAAAATGGACCCACTCTTTAAATAATGATATGCAAACCAGGATTCTTAGTGACTGACAGTGAAACATTTGAAGATGGCAGAATCAAGGGTACAATAATCAAATGCAGCTGGTGGAAAAACACCCAGACTTCCATGGAAAGCACCTTGCATGAAGTCATGCCAGAATATTTGTAAGCTTTTTCTTGTCACCTTATGAGGCAAAAAACACAAGTCATCAATTAGGAATACAGATTATGATGTCATAATATTAGAACTGTCTCATTATAGTAGTGATCATCAGTGATGGTCAATTTATATGAAAACTTTACATATGTAACTTTACAATTCTTTCAACACCATGAAGCAGTATTCTTATCTTCATTTGCTAATGAAGTTAGAGACTCATTTGAAGCTAGAACTGTAGGTATGCTAGTCTTAAGGTTCATCCATTTTTGGAGAACAATTAGTTATGAAACTTTCTGGAATCATATAAAGAAGTAATGGCAAACTGTCCTAGAAAGTAGTTGAAGGAAAGTAATTTAGCACATTTTTGAATATTTTAGCATTTAGCACAGTTAGATCTTTAGCACATTTTCTTGAAGAAAGATCACTTTTCCTTTGTAAAAAGGACAAGTAAACTGACCTCATGTATTCAGTTATCTGGGGTCCAACCTCCTGGGCACTAGCTTTTGGGGTCTTTTCTGATGGCAGTGATAAAGATGCAGTATGCATACATACCAGTTCTAGATGAAAAAGGTAATTTCTATAAACTGCAAATATGTGCTAGCAATTTTTAAAACAGTAAGTTATAGGAGAATTAGATAATATAGACACAGAAAAGAAAAAGAATCAACTGAAGTTTTTCTACCCAGAGATAATTACTATTAATATTAATACATGCCCTTGAAGGCATTTCCTTGTGCATGTTTCTGGGCATTCTGAGTTTATCTTTCTTAAAATAATATTAGCAGAAAGTCTTGTAAAACTTAATTCCTATAATTTGCATGTACTCGTAAAAGTACCAGGGGTTTATGCACATATGAAAATGTCCATCGGCAGTTGGTGTGTAGTACCAGCACCAGCACTACATCTTTAGTTATGATTAACAATGTTAATTGGCTCCATGACAACACGTTCACGTGTACAAATGCATCCATATGAAACTCTCTTCACAAATAAATCCACGTTTCTCAAAGGAAAAATTAACAAGTATAGCTGGAAGCATCCTTATGTAGAGTATTCAAGGAGTGAAAAAAAAGAATGAGGGAGAGATATTTTCCAAGAAAAATCCATGCAATTCAATCACTTGAAAAACTCAGTTCTGGAGCATGGGCAACTTTCCCCTGGGTCAGAACTTCCTCTCCTTTTCCAGTCCATTTTCCTCATTGCAAAGCACCTGGGAAAAATGTACACTCATCTTGGACCAGCAGACCCAATGTTCCATGCCAGGGTTGTGTTTTGTGGTTCAAGTTCTCTGGCTGGGGGCTTGTGAACTCCATTTGGATGGCTGGTTTGGTGACACTATGAGTTATCTAACCTTCTCTCCCATCTTCTCTTTTTGCAGAATTGCCATTACTCCCTGTTTAACATGGGATTAGACCTTCCACATTCACTTGGTTGATAACTGATTCCAACTGTTCTCAGAAGACAAATATTGCCAAGGGAGGCAGTGAACCTCAACTCATTGCAGGACATGTGTACCTGTCTTCTTTTTCGAGAGTTAACTGTTGGCAAGGAAATTATAATTCCAGAGCCAATCCTTTCACACAGAAAGGTGACTTAAGACCTAGACTCACCTGATTGGAGCAGTCTGCAGGCTTTTGGATGGTAGAGCCTCCCCAGCCACAAATCAGGAGAATGGGTTCTCAGATACACTGCAAATGGAGAAGGCAGTCCTACAAGTACAGTCCTTAAAAAAAAAGCACCCCAAAGACATAAAGGAGCCTTTTATCACTTTGAAAACCTTTATTACTGTTGAGAAGCAGACCTTTTGTACCTCCTAATGATTTTATTAAATAGTAAGCAATGTGAACAAGCCCCTTTTTAGTGCCCAAAATAAGTCATCTGACTTTTAAACCTCTCTAAAGAGGCTATATAGATGGGAAATTACATACAATGTTCATAAAAATCAGGATAATTAAATGCTCTTTTCATTTTCCAAAGGTGATACCACCCATTTGTAATTCTCACTTAGGATGCAAATTGGAAGCTGAATTTACAGAGAATCAGACCAAAGAAGTCATTCTAAAATTATGTTAGCATCCAGTCAATCAATAGGCTAAGCAAATAGCTACAACACTGGGCTGACCTTCTAATAGAAGCCACATGTTCTTTATGCAGCATCTCTGGGATTAGTCAAACACCTATTCTAGATAACTTATCAACAACTAAAGGGGACTTGAGTCCTTGGGACCTTGAGAGCTTTGGGACTGCTTGAGTATTTTTCTGTAAAGATTGGCACACTCTCAACTTACATGTAGAAGAGCATGTTTCCAGTTTTTTGGCCAGCTGTGAAAATCACTTCCACAGGCTACCTGGACTGGGCTGAATGTTTGCATCTCCTAAGAGCCACACACTGAATCCTAACCTCAATGTGATAGTATTGAGGGGTGGGGCCTCCCAATTAGGTCATGAGTCATAGACTTCATGAATGCCCTAATAAGAAAAGACCGGAGAGTTATCTTATACTCTTTCTACCGGGTGAAGATTCAACAAGAAGTCAGCCATTGTGATGATCAAGGTGTGTTGTGAACTTCATTGGCTTTGGGAACCCACCATGGGATTAAAAAAGCACACTTCAGAGTGTGTGTGGGTCAGTCATGGCAGCATGACCTTGGGGATCTGTGTCTGGTCCCTGGCCCCTTTACTTTAATACCATTCCCTTGTTCTGCTTCCTGGTCTCCACGAACTAAGCAGTTTTGCTCTACCATGTCTTTTCACCATAGTGTTTTTGTCCCAGGATAAGCTGACCATAACCCTGAAACCATGAATCAAATTAAACCTCTTCTGTTTTAAATTGTGGGTGTGAAATATTGCATCCCACAATAGGAAAGCTGATTAATACAGCTAACTGCACCATGGAAGAGGATTTCATCAAAATCCAAATATGTTCTTCTCCATCTCAGATTTTTGACATTCAATTGTGAAAGAAGTTTTCAGTTATTTATAATTCACCTAGGCTATATTACTTTGTTAGAGTGTCCTAAATTAAATTGTTACCCAGCTTTTTTTCCTTCATCCTGATTGTGACCAGCCATATGGATTTATGAGTGCTTTGAGCCTACAAGTGTAGATTCCATGACCTTGTTCTACCTCAACTGGAAGTATTTCTGCAGTAGACAGTTGGGCAGTTCCACCCATCCCTGTACCCATCACCAACTTCTCTAACTCCCACATTGCTCAGAAATCACTGCTGGCTTTGGCAAGCTGTATTTTCCACAAATTACTACAGTAGCATCTTGCATTGCACATTATTTTCCAGTGTGACTTTAACACTCCTCCTGTCGAGTGTTGGAGGGCCCATATTCTTGTCTTTAAATATGTAAGGGACTTTGTCATCACCATGACAACAAAGTATGATAGAAATAATGTTATTGTTTTCAAGGGTAGACAAAAGTACTATCCATGTTTTGGAGAACTTGGTCTTCAAATCCAGATCCATAAAGAGAAAACAAACTAGCCAATCCAGAGAAGACACATGGTGAACTCACATGTAAGTGGCCCAGCTGAGAGCCACCTCAGAGCTGAGCCAGCTGCCCTGCATATGAGTTAGGTGGCTCCAGATGACACCTTCCCAACCACTGGTTCAGTCACTGACCTTGAATCTCTCCAAATGGGCCCCAGACATGCAGAAACAAGTTACTTCTATCCAAATTCTTCTTTTATTTCGTGGGGTTTTTTTGTTTTGTTTTACTAGACCATGTTTGAAATACATGAAGTTTACATTCATCCTAGGAAGTAGGTACATGTGCACACATAGCTTAAATTTTTTTAATTCTCTTCCCCTATTCAACACCTCCCTACCTCTGTCTATAAATTCCTCTTCCCCATTTTCATTCTTATAGTTGTTGGTTTTACATTTAATTATATTGTTCATTATTGTTTATTGGTACAATTTAGATATATACCACGCTCACATTCATCATAAGGAATGATAGATCTTAGTCCCTCTTTCTTTCCCATTCCCCTCCCCCTTTAGTGCCTCTTTCCCTCCTTATTTACAAAGATTTGTTTCCATTTTATTTTTTTCTCATGTTTTTTCCCCTTTCTTCCTTCCCACCCCCCCTCAACCCAGTTCCCTTTTCCTTTTGAATAATTTGCTTCTATTTTACAATATCTGTTATACATGTTGGTTTTTATTTACTTTCCATTTCTCAAATCAGAGAGACAATGTGATATTTACATGTGTGTCCAATTTATTTCACTTAAGAATAGGGTCTCAAGGTCCACTCATTTAGCCATCAATGTCTCAAATTTACCTTTGTTTATGGCCAAGTATTAAAAAAATTGTATAAAAAATCTTTTTTTGATTCATTAGTGAATTCTATAAAAAATTTAAAGATTTTTTTAAAATCTGACTTTATTTCTAAAGTTGAAAAAACCATGAAACACTTCAGGAATTTGCTTGCCATCCTTGCACAGAAGCCATGCTAATCTTATCTGTATTTTTGCAATTTTAGTATATGTGCTACTAATGTGAGTACTAGAGAATATCTAATGCCACTACTTTTCAAATGCTTTAATGAAATTGAAAGAGAATCAATACTCCCAAACTCATATCTGCAAGCAAGCTTTATTCTGATATTAAAACCAGAGAACGATCCAACCCAACAGGCCAATCTCCCTAATGAACATAGGTGCAAAAATCTTCAATAAGATACTAACAAACAGAATGCACCAAAAAATCAAAAGAATCATGCAGCATGACCAAGTAGGATTCATCTCAAGAGTTCAGGGTTGGTTCAACATATGCAAATCAATAAATGTAATGTACCACATTAATATAGCCAAAGACAAAAAAATCACATGATCAGCTCAGTGAATGCAGTAAAAACATTTGACAAAGTCTAACACTCATTCATGATAAAAACCTCTGCAAAAAATCAGAAAAATGATCTTTATCTCAATCTGATAAAAGCCATCTATGACAAACCAACAGCTAACATCATACTAAATGCTCTAAAACTAAAAGCTTTCACTATAAAATCAAGAACAAGACAAGGATCTCCACTATCACCGCTCCTATTAGGTATAATTCTGGAAACATTAGCCAGAGCAGTTAGAAAAGAGAAAGAAATAAAAAGAATAAAGATAAAGAAGGAAGAAGTTAAATTATCATTATTTGCAGATGACATGATACTCTACATAGAGGACTCCAAAACTCCACCAAAAGATTTCTAGATTTAATAACCAAATTTAGTCACACAGCTGAATACAAAGTCAACACTCAAAAATCAATATCATTCTTATATAAAAATAACGAACTCATTGTGGAAAAGTTAAAGAAAACACCCCTTTCTTAATGGCCTCCAAAAAAATAAAATACTTAGGAATCAATCTAACAAAGAAAGTGAAAGATCTATACATTGAAAACTATAGTACTCTTTTAAAAAGGAGATCAAAGAGGATATCAGAAAATGGAAAAATATCTCTTGCTCTGGGAAGGAACAACCAACATAGTAAAAATGGCCATATTTCCAAAATTGCTAGACAGATTTAATACAATCCTAATTAAAATACCATTAGTATACCACACAGAACTAGAGAAAACATTCCTAAAATTCAGTTGGAACTGGAAGAGACCTAAAATAGCATAAACAATTCTGTGTAACAAATTCAAGGCAGGAGGCATTACTTGAAAATATACTACAAAGCTACTGTGATAAAAACAGCGTGATACTGGAAAGAAAAAGACCTGGGAATTAATGGAACAGATTAGAAGATGCAGAAACAACTCCAAAAACACTCAGCCTCCTGATCTTTGACATGAGAGGCCAAACATGTTCACTGCAAGAAAGACAAGTCTCTTTAATATATGGTGCTGGAAAAACTGGCTCTCCATATGCCAAAGATTAAAACTAGACCCCTATCTATCATCACACACCTAAGTAAATCCCAAATGGACCAGAGAGCTAAACATTAAAACAAAAGACTCTAAATCTTCTGGAAGAGAGAATAGGTAGAACTGACATGTGTAAGCAAAGACTTCATGAACAAAACCCAAATGCATGGGAAATACTACAAGGAATCAATAGCTAGGATCTCGTCTTATTAAAAAGCTTTCACAGCACAAACGAAATCACCAAGACAGTGAAAAGACAACCCATGGCATGGGGAAAAATCTTAGTCAGTTGCTCCTCTCACAAAGGACTGATATCTAGAACACATAAAGAATTGAAAAAAAAAATCTGACCTCCCCCAAATTTAAAGTATCTGTCCATAAATGGACATTTGAAATGATTAGATACTTCTAAATTATAGAAGAAAAAATGACAAATAAATATATGAAGAAATGTTCACCATCACTGGCCATTCAAGAGATGCAACTTAAAACAATGCTGAACATCTCACTCTAGAAAGAATGGTCAGGACCAAGAAAACAACCAATAACAAATGCTGACAGGGCTATGTGGGAAAAGGAACTTTTCTTCCCTGTTGGTAGGAATGCAAATTGATGCAACCACTGTGGAAATCAGTGTGGAGGTCCCTCAAAAAACTAGAACTGGAGGTCTCATTCAACTCAGCTATTCCCCTTTTTGGTATCTTCTCAAAAGAATTTAAAACATCATACCACAGCAATATAAGTGCACCCATGTTTATAGCAGCACAGTTTACAATAGCCAACTCTTGGAAAGAGCCCAAATGCCCATCCAAATTCTTGACCCAGAGAATCTTGAGCAAAATCAAATGATTGTTCTGTGCCATTAAGTTCTGCCGTGTTTTGTTACACAGCGATAGTAACTGGAACACTGACAGAGCCTCAATTTGATTTCCTTGTGAGTCCTGAAACAGAAAATTGTATTCCATCCTGAGATTACTTTCATGGTTCATAAAAACCCTGAAGTCCCCACAGTTTCAAGCTTCAGGGGGAGCCAAGCAGGAATTACATGAGCTCGGAGAGGCTCACAATAAAGACATGGCCCTCTTCTGCAGCATGTATTTTTAAAAGTAAAAGTACATTTCATACTTACCTAAAGCAATTTCTCAGTGCTGGTGCCTCAAAAGATTTTATTCTCTTCAGAGAAAACCTTAAAAACAACTGTGCCCTCCCTGCCTTATCCCCACTCATGACCCTTCTTACTTTCCAGGTCCCCCTGTCAAAGGAGCTAAGTGCTCCGCAGACCTACAGGACATGATTACTAAACCCCCAAGTGCTTCAAAAACCTAGGCTACTGGTAATAACACTCACAGTGGCATTGCTTAATTATCACAAGAGAAGCTTCCTCCTTCTCCAGACTCTACTGAGCTGAGAAGCCACAAATGTCCTCTTCCCAACATCCTCACATGACTAATACCCCAAACTATTCTTTGGATTTTTTTTCCTTCTTCTTTGTAGAGAGGTCCATGGCTCAAGAGAGGTTCATGGAACCCTGTGGTGTTCCATTCACATCCAAGGGTCCAGGCCAGCTTCTCCTCACACAGCTTGTCCCTCAGCCCTCCTCTGTAGAGTTGGATGATAAACAATGCCTACAAATACAGGTGCCCCCATCAAGCCCAGTGAGGCAAAGGTCTCTTCAATTTCCTTTACTCATCGATCTCCTCTGCGAGGACAGATGATAAATAATTTCCTCTTACATCAGCTACAGGGCAAATGCATCTTGTTCGGAAGGAGACACTTGCTCCTGAAGAGGACATCTGACTCTAATCCCCAGGAGTCAGGAAAGCAATCAAAGCAGGAAGCAGGTACAAGGTTGTCAAGCTTCCAAACCATCAAACAAGTCCCTCTTAGGATCAGCTTGTTTTGCAGGCCAAAGGGAAACATTTGATGAAAAACAGACCTTCAGTGAAAACAGAAAAGACACCTCGTGATAGATGGAAGTCCCTCTCAGGAAAACAGAAAAAGAGTTCAAGGGCCAAGGAATAATTTAAGACAAAACAAAATCTAGAAAAAGGAGTAAAATCTCAAGATACTGGTACAAAGTTGGTCATTGATCAGTATTATCCAGCTTGAGTTCAGCCAAGATTTCTGTAATCCAAAGGCATATAGATATTATTCAAGTCCCAGCCTAGGGCAAAAGCAAAGATGTGTCTGCTGAGGTTTCATGCTGATTATGGGTCACATGTTTGATATACAGAGAAAAGCACTAAACTAGACATCAGAATATTCTAGCACTGAAACTAATTCTACTGAAAAGAACCCTGGTGGACACTGGGGTTCCTGGCCACAGGCACCTCTACACAATTGACTCAACCTCTCTTTTCTACTCTCTTGAAAAGTCTACAGTATCTCAAGATTTCTCTGAATTCCTGAGAAGAAATAAATGTGCTCATGCTACTCTGTCTTGGATTTGTCTTTCAATATAGATTGGTTTTTCTAAACCATTCCAACCCAGGCTCTTCTCCAACTCATAAAATACCCACTTTCATCATGAAATTTGAGGGAGGAGGACCATGTGTCATACAAGGTGCTCTGCTGCACTCCTGACCACCTCTAAATTCTCCAAGTCCTCTGTGGTCACGTCAACTAGGCCTCTTGCATTTCCTACCTTCCCTCTTCCTTCTGTCTTTTCTAAAGAATATCAGCTGACTCTTTACCCCCATTCTCTGCTACAGAGCACTCTAATCTTTTCTTCTATTGTTCTGCTCCAGAAAATACAAGGTTCTAAGGAAAGTTCTGCAAATAACTGAGGGAATGATGGCAAAGGAAGATAGCACAGGACTTGTTGTCTCTGCATAGCAGCAGTGAGAAAGACATGACCATCTTGGTGTCTGTTCCTAATCTTCCAAGTCCCAGGGCTGGACTGCAATCCCTAACTTTGGCATTCCCCATGTACCCACTGAGGAGCCAACACTGCATGTGGAAAAGAAATGTCAGCATATTGGCATCTGGGCTAATGAACAGATCTGCTAATTGTGTTTTGCATGAAATGTAAAATTCAAGGAAAACACTAGAGGATATTAGCATTGCTAAGTAGTGTCCTGTGCCATTTTAAAAAATATGTTCCTTCCTTCTCTGCCACTAATCGCCTGTAAAACTTTGCGTAATTAGTTGACATAAGCTAGCTCCAGTCTTCTCAGTTCTGCACTTGTGCCATGCTACAATTAATCTTAGTGATCTGTGATGTACATGGCAACCATTTTGGATAACTGTTTAGTGAGCTATTCTAAAGATAAAGCAATGCCTTATAATCCATACTTCTACTTCTAGGTGTAAACTACAAAGAAATGCATACATGTGCCTACCAAAAATTACAAGAATGTTCATAGCAGCACTCTGCATAGCAATCCTGTATCAGGTTCAGTGGTGTCCCCCAAAGATAAGTCTATATCTTAACACTTAGAACCACTGAATATGGCTTGATTTGGGAAAAGGATCATTTCAGATATAATTAAATTAGAAATATGTGATGAGGTCATCTTAGATTACCTAGATGGGCTTTGAATCCAATGACAAGTGTTCTTGTGAGAAACAGAAGATAACAAGGACACTAATAAGGAGAAGGTGAGTCAGGTGGAGATTGAGGCAGGGATTGGAGTGATGGGA